TACTATATATAATATAGTCATATAAAAAACTTGATCATTCAATCATAAAAGCCAGTTTCATGTTTCCCTTGAACATGTACTTGAACTACGAAAGTTTACGCGCAGTGAAACTGGACCGTGTAGCCGGTCCTTTAGAGGCTAGCTTGGCTACCACGGAAGAAAAAAATGACAAGTGTTAAGCCTCGATTACTATGAGAATCACTGTCGCCAAAACTTACACATTAATAATTTGAAACACTGAAATCTTGATAATGATTGGCCGGTTTAATTTTAAAAATAAATAACAAATTCTGGACTATTCATATAATTTAAACTTTACGCTGTTGGGAAAGTTCAATACCTATTATTGCAATTTCATTGATTGAAATTTCAATAAATGTGCTGCCATCTAGAGCTTAATTGATGAATGCCGACGAGTTCGAGATGATAGCTAAGTTCTCCAAAAACTTACTTTCGTAAAACGTACTTTCATTTCTTGTAACAAAAATACGATTATTGATAACAATAAACAGAAAATTGAAAATTTAATAAAATTAAATAAAATTAAGTATTAAATGATGATACGTAACACCACCATAGATAATATTACAAGTGCAGCTATCATTTTTGCACTCCAAAGTAGCGAAATAAAAACATTTTTGTACGATTTTCGTTGTTTTGCGCGAGATAATTGACACGACCATAACGTAAAAGTGAAAATGGCGGACTGAGCTCAACTTTGCTTAACTCCGCGAGATGTTGGCATACGTGTCACGCAAACTTAACACTTCTATTGTATTTATTGTTCTGTGTTGACTACCTTGTTAATTCATACAATATTATATTACTTGTTACTTGCAGCGCGGCGCCGCACAACGACAGAAAAGCCGCGGCGGCGTCGGTAGTACCCGCCTCCGCGCCCGCACCACACCCCGTCGCCCCGCCCGGTAAACGCAACATTTACTCACAAGGGTCGAGTATGGCCCAGGCACAAGTCTCGCTGAAAAAACGCAGCTCATTAAGGCATGCGCAATGTGACTTAATCCAGTCAAGTTAAAGTGCACTCTTCGTCACTCAGCGTTATTCTAATTGGGTCATCGTTATAATAGGTCAGCCAGAATTAATTCTATACAAGATTGTTATGGTCGAATTAAGTTGCTTATTCAGCCAGAGACAATTTGTACAATTTATTATTAACTTGTCATAGCCGTGTCAAATTGTTTTTCAGCCGGGGTCAAGGGTGTACAATTTAATATTAACCTGTCTTAGTCGATTAAAATGGTTTTGTTTTTTTTTCCAGCCAGAGTTGTCCCAAGTGTTATATTTTAACATGTATCAACATGTTATGCTACATGCTACAAATATACAGATTTATTGAATGTTTCATAAAGACAAGTTATACGTGTTTTAGGTGGAAATAATAGTCAAATACAAGGTCAACGATCCATAATATGAACGAATGTAACTATGATAGTTCAAAAAAGTTTAAAACATACTTCGTGCAGATTTTCGTCGATTTTACGTCCATTTGTGTTCTACGGGACGAAATTATAACCCACTATTGTACACGGTGCCTTGACAAGGCAAGGAAATTTATCACTTCAGTGGTTGTTTTAAATTGTAACTATGGTCTGTCTAAAAAATATGGAGTTAATTGCACAAAAATTGCCCGCTTGTAAGCAGCTAATGATTGCAGTCGATAAATATTCTATCGACAGAATATTGGTCATGCTTATGCAATAAATAATCGAACTTGTTTCATTTGAATCATCATTGGGCCATTATTCATTCAACTGCTGGGCACAGGTTCTTGTGAATTGTCAATTTCTGTTAGTTGTACATACATACACTGCATTTAGAACTATGTCTATGAAGAATACAAAGAGGAGGCATATTTTAATGTTTTTCTTGTTAAAATGGATATGTATAATAATTGATTTCGATACTAGTAAGCCAACTGTCAAAATAAGAAGGCAACAATGCAATTTGTAATCATTAGAACGTCGTAACATTCGCAATAGAGACATTTTTGGCAAAATTTCACCTTTCACATTCTATCGACAAACTATCAGCAACAGCTACATGACTATTTAAAATTTTATGAAAACTGACAACCCTGCAAATGTCATTATACTCCATCTTCAAAAAAGACTAGACTATAAAGAAGTTTATTCAGATTACTTGTCTGTTGACATTATTTCAACTCAACGCACAATTCCTTGATACTAAAATTACTATACAACCAACTTACTATATCGACATTACAAAGAAAATATATATAAACTAAGTTTTACAGCTATTGCCGGACGGATTATGTCTTGCCTTTTAAGTATAAATACATTGAATAAATTCAATATTTACCGTAGCGGGGATTGTGATGAATGTATGGGTGTTATGATTAAGTGTTCTAAGCTAATATTATAAGAAACCGTTATTGTACTGCCCTCGGAACGTAAAAAGCACAACTGCTGTATAAAGTAGCATAGTTGTGCCTTTTTTCGTTACGAGGGTAGTGTAGGGGTGCTCAATTTCCCTATTATAGTGCAACATATAGACCCGTTTGTCCTAGGTCGTCAGTTATACCGCTACGCCACTGCTAGGTTAAACCGCAACTTATAGAACATTCCAAAGTGGGTTTGAATTATTAAAAAGCAAATATAAGAAAAAGAAAAGAAAAACAAAAATGGCGCACCGTTACCGCGCTGCCCATTTCATATATTTCGTATTTTAAAGTATACGGAACGGGAATTATGCTCACTTTTGAATGTTTCACTTTGAGCTAAAGGTTAGCCAAACAGTGTACTATTACACACAGTGAAATGACATCTTTGATACGCGAAAGAATTAAATTTCTAACTATAACGGCGCGGGTACAAAAAGTCTGGTAAATTTTACCCCAAATTGCATTTCGCGGGCTAGGTCGTCAATAATAATAATCATTGTCAAATAAGTATTACAAAAAATATTTAAAATAAGAAACCCGGGCTTTAGATTTATGCAGCTGAGGAACAACTTTATTACTATAATAAAAAACACGTAGAAGGGCATTTTTACTTTTAACATTACGACGTAAATGTGACTTCATTTTTAAAACTTCGTTCTTTTAAATTTTTGTTTTTTTTTTAATAAGAATCTTTACAATGAATTGAAATGATTGGTTTAGGCTTAGGCTGTTTCTAAAATATTTTTTAAATATTAAATAATAAGCGTTACCCACAATGGAAGTAAAAGTTATTAATAAAAAATAGTTGCAATTTTATGTAATCATTAATAAAAGCGTTTGTGAAGATTTAAGATGAAGTAACAAAACCTACACAACACATTTTTAGGCGGAGATTTAGAAAACGAACTTGACTTCGACTAAGCAAAAATGCCGTGTCTAAGCATGATTTTCGTATTTACAAAACGTACTTAGCTTAAATTTAAGCAAGAAATTACGAAGTAAAGTCGAAAGTCAAGAAGCTCTTATTTAAATTTAGCCAAAGTTCGTTTTGAAAATACGTAAAACTTGCTTAGCTCTCCATTTCTGCTCAGTTAAAGTTAAGTAACTTTTACCACAACTTTTGTAGCATTGTCGAAGGTAAAAACGGAGCAAAGAGGCAGGAGAAGAACTAACCTAGCTTGGTTATTTATTTACTCAAAGTTAAGGTGCTGAACAGAGATGGTTGGTGATTGCTCTACCGACAAGAGCTTAGCTGTTAAAGAACAGTACCGATGATAACGGCATTGTGAAGGTGGGATTACATCGTGAGACCAGTAACCTGCTCATAAAATGTCCAAGTACTCGAATTTTATTTTGTAGACTTGCAATGGAGATAAAGGGTGTGACGCGTTAAAAAAATAAATAAAATGGCCGACTCTGAAATTACATCACGACATACGGAGAACAGTAAACCGCTCATAAAATATCTGATGATGTCTTACTGAATTAGGAAAAAATGTTTTTAAACACATAATTCTATAATTATTAATACTAAAATCGAAAAGAAGAATTCAAAATACAAAAAGACTTCAGTCCGGCTGGACTCGTGTCAATTCTTATTTTTTGTAAATTGTTGATAATACAAATCTTAATTGTCAATTGTGTACATAAATTAATTATCGTAACTACTACGTTATTGAGTTGTTAGGTTTTCTCGATTGCTACACTTTTGTTTCGGGCTTTTTACGAGTCCTATACTCAGAGACTTGATGAATATTTAAAATAAAATGTAGCTGCACAGTAAGCAGTAATATGGACTGGGGTCAGGCTGAAATTTGTTTATTTTAACATTATAGAGGAGTTTCAAAATGGCCACCGTAAAGACAAGTCCGCTAGAATTAAAAATTAAAAAAATAAAATCTAATCTGGCAGTATGTCTAATTATACGCCTTAGCTTGTCCAGAAGGACAAAAAAAATTACAAGTAATAACATTATACAATGTTCGTGACATTGTAGTTAAATGGCCATTTCTGGTCCAAATTTTCTTTTATGAAATGGGGTAACATGCCAAAGTGTATATATGTATAGTAAAAATGCCCAAAAATCTACATACTCATTGAATCCGTCGCTGCTGCTGCCTCTTTTTAACTTATATACTGAAGCTGAAATAGATGTATTGTTACGAAAGTTTTGTGAAAATCGTAGAAATAAAGTAAATTCCATATCTATCAAAAGACCCGAGTAAAGCCAAATCCGTAATATATAAATTTAATGTAGCTATTATCGTGTGCTCGATTTTAATTAGTAAATAGTTAATAACAATTAGTAGCACAAGTCGGAATGTTTGATTTTTTAAAGAATTTTAAAGTAGTTACTTTATTGGCCAAAAATTATTTGTGATTCTACAAATTTGTTTTTATTTGGTGCTGTTCCTATGGATTGATACATTGTAAATCTTTTTAAAGTTAGCATTGTCAGTCATACTTTCGCTGTATGAAACGACACGCGTCACAGGTTCATCTGTTGTACAATATTATGGAATAAAAACCATTTTTATTACCCACATAAACATAACGCACAGATACGCAAAAGGCATTCTCATTGCGAGGCATAAAAGTTAAAAATTCTACATCATCTTTTTGAAAATAAAAACTAAAATGCTTCACATACTGCGTTGTGACAGGACAGTGTTATTAAGTAGATTCAGTAGAGTCTATTCAGCATTGTAGCGATATTCCTAAAGATTTACAATTTATTGTTTCCTATTTTGTAAAATAGATTTTAATTAGTGTACAGTGTTGTTTTTTTTTTGTTTACAGTACACACTATTTTTTCTTAATGTTTTAGTGAATTTCCATAGACATAGAACTTCCATAGACAAGGTCATAACACAAACGCATGAAAATTTCGTTATTTTATAGCAAAGACAGTTAGTATTTTCTCATAGCACAAGTTATCGTAGCTAATAATGTTTTTAAGTGATTATATAAAGTTGTAACCATAAATGCCATTGTCCGTGGGAGTTAAATTACTTATACAAAAAATAAAAAATATTTTTACTAACGTAGCAATAAATGTAGTATGGCGTAGACTAAAAGCTGTCTTTTAGTTGAACGGGGTTACGTATCACTTGGGAGCTCTTATATACATTGTTGTTTGTTGTTAGACGATGGCCACTTAAAGTTGAGTCACGCTGACACGCTGTTTCGTGCAGGATCTTGTATTTTGTTTTGTATTTCTTGGTTATTGCTTTGATTTGACACACGAACCCATCTATGGAGAGCTCGTCAGTTGTTGTACCCAGTCAATTAATAGACGGCCTAAACCCTAAGATCCGAAATATAGATCTTATGAATTAAAGACATTTTGTATCTCGTTATAGGCGAACATTTTGTAAATAGGTAAATGAAGTCCAGTATTAGTAAGGTTTTTATATGAAACTTAAGTGTTTTTTTGCAATGTTTCCATTCCTTAAGGCTTGACAAGTTAACAGAGAACCATATCTAAATACGAATGTAAATGTTCATTGTTTTTCTTGTCTGAGTGGGTACAATACTATTTATAATATTGTCATTAAAAGAGGGTGCCTACTACTCAAAAATCTTGGAAAAAAATATAGGCAAGTTTTGTTACAAAACATCTACATATACAAAGTGTAACAAATAGGTTCTGACATATTTGAACTGGTGATCGTATTCCTGATTGACAACTAACATTAGCAAAAAAAAAACCATACCCGATTTTGCTGTCTGTCGCGCAGTCGGGTAAAAGTGCAAGCAGTTTTTATATCGGAAATTAAAACATCATCAGTACGATTATTTTCTAATGTACGGCCATTTTTGTTACACCGTAAGGGTCCGTACAAATCTGGTAATTGCGCTACACGTGTACAGTTAAGTGCTCTGTAATACTAATCACATCTCACATGATACAAGCGAGCATAGATGGCGCGCAAGCGGCACGCAAACAGATCGCACTACGTAATGCTCGCGAGTCTTTCATTCACCAGATCTGTACGCACCCTAAGGTAATTCTAAATATTTGACTAAAAATTCTTAACAAAAATGTGATTTTAGAAAATGTATATAATTTACGAAAAACGTATAGTGCTTTATTTTAAATGTTTTCTTTAACATTCCAAAATATCATTTTTGCTTAGAACATCTGTTTAGTTCAATTTAACTCAATTTTATTTCGATAGCAGATTTAATTTGCTGTTGGTTATCCTAAATTTAAGGTTGCATTGCCGAATTCAGAATCACGGGGGTCCCCCATTTTACTTTGTGTATGTTGCTATACTTTCTATTGTAATATGCGTCTCCCGTCATTCTTTAGCCGGCCCAAAACGTGTATATTAATTTAAGTAAATTATGTGATTTATTTATTTAAGGCTTGAATGTAAAAAGCCTGGGATTGTTTATTTGTTACGTTTATTTTCAAATACTTGTTTATTTTAAGGGTACTTCTCAGAAACAGATATTAGGCGAATAAAACTTAATTGCGTGATGTGATGCCCTCGTATTTTATTGAAGTTTGTCATAATTTTATTTATTATATGATATTTTATGATATGGATGTGTTAATCTGCGTACGACCTTATGGTCGCTTTTGAAAGGCCTTGTTGTTGCGTTTACAATTACCATCACGAGATACCTTTTTCTTGGATAGACGCATATTTCCGGAGTTAACCCATAATGTGTAAAAAGACCTTTATGTACATTTTTGAGAAACGCCCTTTGTGTAACTTAAATGATGTGAATAGAGTGTACAGTCCCGTGTGGTACATTTAGTACAAAATATTGCTTATTTTGAAAGTTTGAAGTAAGTTTGAGATTTCAGTAATCTGAAAGCAATAAATATGAATGAATGAAGTTGATTTTTTTTATTTTTCCATGTCTTTATAGTTTTAGTAACGCTTGCAACAACACGATTTCAAGTGGATAAGGTTTTTTTTTTGTCAAAGTCACCTCAAATGAACAGCGTCCAGCGTGAATAAATAGTCATGGAACTATGATTCCTAAATGAGCTGGAGAAAGACAAAGGCATGTAAGAGTCTGAAACACACCACAATATTATATTCATTTCATTGCGCATATGAACGTGCAGACTGAGTAATTCAATTGTAATTTAATCACCCTAAACTTAACACGAAATTCCAGTGATCATGATTCTCTTTAGGTCACCACATTAATTAAAACTACGTCCGTGTAGTAAGAGCGAAAAAGGAGTTGTGTCGTTGACGTCGACTCTTACGACGCAGCTCGATACAGGTCAGCTATAAATTCTCTTCCTGCTAATTTTGTCATATAATAAATATCACTACGATCGCGTCGATACGCTTTAAGCTGAACGAAGCCGAAAGCACATAAGCCACATTTTTATGTCCCCCCCCATTGACTTACAATTATAGTCCCCCCCGATTGATTCCAAGTAACTCCCTTATTTTACTTGGCACAACAGTTAGTATTGTATAAAAAATAAAACACTTTAAGGACATCACTATTTTATGGAATCATCTGAACTTCTTCATTTTTTGCAATCATTTTAACTAAGGTGAAGGCTTTATAGCCAATGCTCAGTAAGTACATATAAAAAAAAAAAAATTTTTGATTTTTTATCTGTGGCTGTCATTAATACGTCAAAATCAGTTGTTTTTGCAGAGGTTGTATTTATTTTCATCGCAAAAAGTGAAAAATTTAACGAAAATGAGCAAAGCCAAGGTTGCGTTGCGCGATATATCGCCAATAATGCAGGCCATAAGGAATTTCCTTCTTGGTGTAGGTATTTTACATTGTGTTTATTGTTATGTAACCTAGAATGTTTTTATATAAATTTGTTTTATTTTTAGAGGAAACATACGCTTGCTCTGCGTTTTGAGCCCCTTGTGTCAGCCAGGACCCAACCTCCGCCGCAAATTCCTGATGGAGTTTCACATAAGTAAGTTTTTTTAGAGACAAACTTACAAATTTTCTCGTTCGATGTTTTGATACCAAATTAATTGGTAATGCCGATAGTAATTGCTAACATCCTTAAATTTCACATTAAAAACAAATAAAACAAAGTTAGTTAGTCTTTGGAATATAGCTAATTTATTGCTGTCCCAGCAAAGTTGACACTAAATAACTAAAATTAACATTCTTACTTTGGCGTCACAGCACAGTTATGAAAATCTAATGTTAAAAAGACTAAACATAACATTAATACGAGGAATAAAAAAAAACTGACTTGTTCTTGACAGTCGTCTTTCACAATTCCTTTTTAGTGCAATGTATATGCATTTAGAATCAACTGGAATTTGCCATTTATGGGGTTTAAAACCCGTTATCCTATAGCTTCTGAGTACTTGGATGTCAAAAAGCCATAGTTGTGACCTGTTTAGCTCTTGCAGGTTGTCTGGATCAGTGATTTTTCAAATAAATGTTGTAAATTATGAGTGTGTACAAATATTTATTTACAAAGAGCAAACCCTAGAGTTTCCGACTCATTCTTTTCTACCTTAGAAATTGGTTTGTTTAAAACATTTTGGTGAATGTGACTATTTGAACTGTAATTTGTATACCTACCTATCAATAAATATATAGTTTGCACATCCTGTGTACAGATGGCAGGATATCAAGCTACACATTGACGGATCTTGATCCATTGCACTGGAGACAATTTAAGTATATAACTTGATATGCTGTCAACCATCTTAAAGTAAATGTTTATAGTTTTAAAATGCTGGAGCCAAAAGAAAGTTATAACGGTTGTTTGAAATCGATTTAAAAATGGCACTTGATTTCAGACATTCTCACAACTATTATTATACACGAGATGCTCGTCGAGAAGTAACTCCACCACTTGATGTCACTCAGCAATTGCTTGAAGCTAGCTCTGACAAAGGGTATGTACTGCCATCTAAGAGTTATGTAGAAATTAACTCTCAACATATTAGCGCACATCCTACTTTTCTTTTATAATATCAAGTGATGGGATGAATAAGGCAAGCGCCTGATGGTATGCTACTCGCCTGTCCATAACAGTTGCTGTGCCACTCAGAGCTTTAAATCGCAAATATTTGAGGGGCACTGCCACTGCGCCCGTCACCCCGAGACTTAAGTTGACTTCGAAACTGGAACGCAGTACTGTAGACTAGGCTGTACTCTATGAGTAGAATCACTGGCTGAGTGAGATTCATAATTAGAATGCTTTGAAAAAGAATGTTAAGAAAATAGAAGATCTTGACATTAACATTAAGATTATTGTTTCGTAACCCCTACGCCAAAATTGTGTGAAAAGTAAAATAAAATATAAAGTTGAAGATTATTACAGTTTGAATTTATAGAAATGCCTCTCGCCACGTAATCTGAGCTACCCCCTTATTTCAAATGGTGGATTGCGCCGGCTTGAACCGTGGATAAGGATTCCGATGAAGAAAAGTCCGGTGTAGAATATTTTCATGTCTTGTTACGACACAACATCAAGAAAACGTACATAAGGTCGTACTATATATTTTTACTTTTTATTAGAAAATCGTTGTTGTGTGCTTGTGCACTTCGTAGTAGTTACCAGTAAGGTAAAAAAAAAATATAAATTAGAGCTATACAATGAATCATACACCGGCACAGAAATTTTCGGGCCTAAATGATGTGGAAGAGTTTCTGGCCCAATTTGAAGCGATTAGTGCGATAAACAACTGGTCAGATGGGCAAAAAAGATACGTGATTGCGACGTATCTGGAAGGGCCAGCGTTGCAGTGGTATAAGACCCATTTTTCTGCATATGCCACATATGATATCATCGCTCAAAAATTGAAGGAGCAGTTCCCGTCGCAGGTCGATTATGCTCAAGAATTTTACTATAGGCGACAGAGGCCTAATGAGCCGCTTGTAGAATATTTTTACAATCTCGATAGTTTGGCAACGAAGGCAAAGATTGAAGATGATGGGAAATTCATAAAGCATTTCCTGAAATCTTTAGCTCCCAACTATCAGTGGGTGCTTGCCAGCAGATTGTTCGCGTCTAAAGACGAGTTAAGAAAAACCATTGTACAAATGGAAGATGTATTTAATCGTCAGACAAACTTAGAGCAACAGAGTATTGAATTACCAGTGTGTATTTCAAAAGATTATCCTCACTCTTGGCAAGCACAAGGGGATCCTTCACCCGTTGGTGGATCCGTCGTATCTACAGTACTACAATGCTCCAGCTTGGCCAAATTACCTTGGTTTGCCGAGGTTGCTCCTCAAAATTATCGAGTTGTGGACTCCAGCCAGCCACACCATACCATACCGTATCAACCCACAATATTACATGCTAATAAATACAACTAGAATTGCTAAGGCTCATTATTTGCCACTGTCATAAACTATATTGATTAAATGTCTTGGAAATGGCAAAATACAGAAATAATATTAATTGGTAAAGCACAGCTCTCCATTAAAATTTGGTAAATAATGGGTCTTGCTCGGCGGCGTTTAGAATACCTGGCCAGCTGTTCTTAGCACTAACATTGCTAATGAATCGCATAAAGTAAATATAAGTTTCTACAATCAAAGGAGTAATTTTGTAACTCAGATGCTCAAGAAATTGCATCAGAAAATTATATCTTTTTTTTTACAGGGAACCAAAGAAACTAGCCAATGTACCTCGCACTCCAGGCAAAATATACCACTGGGACAAACACTATGAATAAACAAATAATAGATTTAGACCAAATTCTAGAATGAAGTGTAAGTGATGTTAATTGTTTTAAGTTAAATAAAAATCATGTTTAAATAATGTATTAGTAGATTGCTTATTGTTATACCTTTTTCCTTGTTTATATAGTTTAAATGCTGACTAGATTAGAATAGCCTTTGTTGCACACAAAAGAAACTGAAAAAATGACGCAATCGGCGGCCTTATCGCTAAACAGCGATTTTATTTTTAAAATTATTAGGGTCACAAATTTGTGAAGGACCGTTAACAGTGCACAAAGCATATAAACGCTCTCTAAATTAAACTGAATATACACTTGAAATTTTGTACATACATATAGCTACAACACTAAATATTTGTATCTATACATACAACAACAATATTAAATATATAGAATAAATACTGGACTAGAATACTTTTATACCCTGAAATGGTAGGTAGTGCAAGTAGTTGTAGTGTTATAAGCATAAAAATTATTTTGGGAATTTTTAAGTTTAAACACTTTAAAAAGGTAGAACCCGACTTGTCAGCAAGCATTCGGATTTTGGTTGTGGATATCGATTATCCTTACTTGTACGCGCCGCACTTCAACAGACTGAGTACATGTATCTGACAGAGTCGAAGTGGCGGTTTGTTTATTTATTTATACAGAATAATTACACACACATACACAGTATGCACCATGGCGTTACAGCGATGTTGGAATACACTAAAAAATAAAATATTACTTTGTTCTTTATATTTCGGTTTACTGAGACAAAATGGTAAAGCAGCGAAACATGAAAGCATCAACAATTCAATGATCTTACGAAATAAAAAAACCCTTAACAGCTAATAAGATTCAAATTCATTTAACATAATTATAATCCTTATAAGCCACTGCAGTAATCGAAAGCCCCAAAATGCCTAATTTCATATAATATCATATATTTCTATGACGATACAGACACAATATATGAAAATACTGACTTCAAAGTTCTATGTACTATGGGCCACACCTAAATTGTACCCTAATTCCTTGATATAGCGTTAAAAAAATCTAGATTAACCTGTTATTAAATGCACAACTAATTCAATGCCTGTCAGGTGTATATTCTATATACTTTATACACACAATACCCTATTATAATTTCATTTAATATTCTAACCACTTGTAAGTTGATTTTACTGAGACAAACATTTTGAAAAAACAAGAATTTTGGTCACATTTATGTTCACACAGGGTCCATTCAGCCATTTTTTGTTACTTGTTCGAAGTATCCGCCACAATGCCATAATGTGTAATATAATCAGCGTCAAAATTATACGAAACTGCGAAATTTTTTTGTAGTATTAGCAATAATAATCTCAGTACAGAGTACTAAAAAACCGACCTCAAAAGTCATTCATCCCCTAGTTTGCCACTCTTAGCGGTAAAATATATATTTTTTTTAAATTTAAATGGGACCACTGCTGACGTGAGGTGAGGTCTACCCAACAAAAAAAGGATCATCAAAATCAGTTCACAAAATTACGGACGAACAAAGTTACGGAGTTATCTCGTAAAATACATATATAAAAAAACATACAGTCGAATTGAGAACGTCCTCCTTTTTTTGAAGTCGGTTAAAAAGAAAAAAGCTCAAATGAACCGTCAGTTACTATAGTTAATAGCAATACTGCACAGGCGCTAGCTACACACGTTCATATTAAAAATCGTTTATTCATAATTTGGTTAATGTAAGTAACATTAACCAATGTTTACATTAATGTAACCATTTATTAATGTATGTACTTTAGAAATGTGCCGCTAAATAACATGGGACCATTTTTGTCGAGTGATTTACAATATTGCTACAAAGTTTAACCACTAAAGTCTGTCTCTAAAGGAATGCTAAAAACAGGTTGAATTATGAACCACAGGTCACATATACCAGAATTTTTAATGGAAATCAAAAGACGATTGAAGTAATTCTTTTTTCAAATTATACGTTCTGGTATATGACACATAACTTTCTAAACTAAATAATTGTATTAATTAAATTGTACCTTTTATTATTTCGTGTTCCTCTAAATATGTCTAAGAGTGTATATTATTATACTATTATGATAGACAGATAAAACGTTCATTTTTTGCATCACACACATACAACTATATAGATTAAAAGAACAACACACAGAAATTAAAATTAAAGGTGGGAATAAAAACAAACAGAACAAGAAATTAAATAAAAATACATAAAAAAACAAAACATTAACTTATTATCAACAGCTTGTGTGCCGCAGCAAGCCAAATGGGTCAGGACTCAGTGCGAAATTTGCCCAAAAGCGGAGCCTGATTTTCAGCCACCACATTCGAGGTTAGCGTGTTGCGGTGCAACAAAAGCAAAAATATTGTGAAGTGACATAACCATTAAATTCATAGTTATAGTATAATCATAGATTTTTAGTACAAATATCCGTCAAAACGGTGATTATACACATTTCATACAATTACAATGCTATAATATAATTATTATTTATTTCAATATGTTGAGCTACCAATTTGACATGACTACAATATAATCTTTATTTTGAATAATACACATTATTACTTATTACATACTGCTTTCTCAGCCGTAAAGATAGTTTCTACATACATACATATACTGGTTACTAATGTTTGTATAATATACAGAGTGACCCCTAGAGGTTTGCGACATTAAAAGTATAATGTATGGAACATTTTCGAATTCACTAGATACAAGCATTTACTATGAATCAGACAATTGAGGCTATCAGCGCAATAGTGATATAACCAACATAACATTTTTTTCTACAACATTACTTTTAAAGATACTGAAGTATATAATTATTTTATTTTGGATGCTACTTTCATGTAAAAAAAAAATTACTAATTTCCCTTTTCAATGAGTCTGCATAGTAAAATTAACTCGTGTTGACTGGTAACATCATTCCTACAGTCCTTTTGGGGTCACCCTGTTTAACACAATTTTGGTTAACATATTTTTGTATATATTTAATGTTTTTAGTTCATATTTTTGTATATATTTAATGTTTTTAGTCACCAGATGTAATATTCCCTTAAACTGTAGTTAATATCGAGTTCTTAGGTTTTCGCGATTGTTACACATAGGAATGAAACTATTTTTCCGGATTTAAATCGCGTATATTTGTTTTTTCAACCTTTGGACCTGTAAAGGGCCCGAAACGTCGGTTTGTTTGAAAAAACAAATATACGCGATTTAAATCCGGAAAAATAGTTTCATTCCTATCTGTAGTTAATATTTTAATCATCTAGTAGACATTGATTTTTCTGGTCTGATCGGTAGGCCAGGTGTCCCCAAAGAGCCTGGCTACCCTGGTCACCTCTTACGACTTCGATGGTGTTCATTGTGTTATATCAAACAGACTAATAAAAATAGTAACGTGGTAACGTGCTAGACAATCACACCAAATACCTGGTCTCAAACTAGGGAAGTCCATGCACTAGGAATACCAGAGGAACAGAATTCAATCACTAGAATCAGTACTATCCGGGGTCTGTATACGCATCATAGAAAAGTTCCCAAAGCTAAAAGTCCGGTTTCTAGGTCTACGGGACCTATATCTAAACCTGTGTCATTTATCCTCACCGTCCACTTGCTTTCTGAACTGCATTGCGTCGTTATAAGCTTTCTTTACAGCTTTTCTATCTGTTGGTTTGCGAGATTCAACTAATTTCGATTGATCGATGCTTTTCTCTATACCCAAAAGCTCCAGTTTATTAGGTGGCAGCCACTGCCAAGTTCTTTTTACGTCGAAGAATAACACCAAGTACAGTATTGGTTCGTGAGAGTGATTTTTCTTCAGGCTCAGTACGTCTTGTGGTGGTACGGGAAGTGGTACGCCTTTGTAGATGTAGCCTTTTGGCATTTTTGGGTCGATTATTAGCGCCGGATACCAGGGATATCCTCTGAAAGATATATTTCATTTGTTAAAATCAGGTACTGGCAAGTTAGTAGAGAGAGTTACAATTAGGTCAAGAAAAATTATACTGTAGACCTTTTATTCATCCACATGTGTCACTGCTGAGTATGGTGCGCCTCTAATGAAAATTCAGGATCATCAATGAGGCCTATACCGGATAAGAACGTTTCGCAGGCCTCATGACTAGTTTACACCTATTAAGTGACGAAGTACTTGATTTTAACTTAATTTCAAGTATTTTATTTTCACCTATTTTAATGAAGCTATAAGTCAACTTACACTGAGATTTATATAAGGAACTTTGACTTCGATAAAATACACAAATATATTTAAACAAAAATGGCTAAGTTTTTCGTATTTACAAAACGATTTAAGCAAGAAATTACGAAGTAAACTCAAAAATTTAATTTAATTTCTTGCTTGAACTTAGAAAAAGTTCGTTTTATAAATCTCAACCTCGTATTCATATAAAAATTGCAAACAAAACACAGGCAAATATTTCTAACTTAAGTATTTGTAACTAAATTTTTGTGAAGCCAATATTTGCTAAAATGCAACATAGTAAAGCTACCCCTACCGGGTCATGCGCGGTACGCGGGAGAAGCGGCTGCTCCGTTAAGAAAAGGGTTGATTTATGGTAGACTTATGTAGATAGTAAGTAATTAATTAAGTTAAAACTTAGTTAATTACTTTGTCACTTAATAGGTGTCAACTAGCCATTACAAGAGTTTGCAACTTGTAAGTGCGTGCGCGCACATTATTAACAATACCGTCGGCCGACATAGTGATGACCCTTTCACTCTTGCGATAGATATATATTTTATATATATATAATAAGTGACGGGACGAACAAGTCGTGCGCCTAATGGTAAGCTACATGCCTATCCATAAGAGTTGACAGTGCCACTCAGAGCTTGTAATTTCACCAGCACCCTTACACTTCAAAATCTGAACACAGTAATGCTGACATTGCTGCTTGGCGGCAGAAATAGGTACGATAAATATTAAGGTATGGTTAGAGAGAGACAGAGACCTCTTACTTATGTTTTTTTACAATTTGAGAGTATTTTAGCCTGCTTCATTCTTACCAGTGCACATACAAATTTTACCTGCACTTGGCCCAAACAAGTTGCAGTGGTTCCAGCTGTAAATCAACGGTGGAGCTCTTCACTGGGGTTCTCGACGTCGTCGACCGAGTGCCGCGGCCCTGTTGAAAAGAACAGATTGTATGTATTCGGGCCCTGTACTGTCAAATAAGTAATACTCGACCAAATTACAAGAAAGCTTTATACTTGACATTGTCTGTTTATATGCTATACTTATACATATTATACGCTATTGTACACACAATCATATCTTTCTGCCAACGGGGTAGACAGAGACTACGAAAATCCACTTGCTTCCGAAACAGATGCAGATTGTTTAAAATTTAATAACCAATAAATTACCTTGACGGGTGTAGTAGGTGTGTCATTATCGGACATGTCAGTATGCACAGCGGTTCTGCGCGAGCGCCGCCTACGCTCTGCGCCACTGCCGCCTTCCACGTTAGAATCCATGGTTTCGTTATAGCTCGATCTACAAAAAATAATAAGTTAATTAATTTACTGGGAGAAACATTTGTATGGCCTATGTTTGAGTTTGGGTACAATTTGTGGTTGTCTATCTATGTGTCCATGGCACTCGCGACACAGGGTTTCCCTAGTGTGGGCTATGAGTGTGTGCGTTATTATTATTATATTGAGTTCATTATGACGTCACCTTTATTGTATTACAAGTAGTACTATTATTATCAAGAATAATTTCAGTACCTTATACGATGAGGGAACAGTACCTAACTATAGCACAGTAATGATTTCTGTTCGGTCTAGATACGATATGCACGCAACTTGCTTATGGATACGAGTAATAACAATTTGCGTTTATTGAATTTAATTTTATTTTGATGAAATCCTGTCTTAGGTTCAAATTTATACTGTAACCCGCAGCGTCAGAATTATTGCAATGTTAGAGCGTCAAAATATCTGACCATGAATTTAAGATGTACTTTCGATCATTATGCAAACGAATTTGAGTTTCGGTCTACATATATTGCATTAAAATTTTAGGTATAACTGTAGATAGGGACATGTTGTTTAAAACTCACTCGCAACAGGTCTGTGCAAAACTATACACGCTTAGCTATACACTCTACAAATTGTCAAAAACTGCGGACCGCCGAACTGTGGTAATGGCTTACCACGGCTTTGTTGGATCTATCCTTAGGTATGGTGTGATTTTCTGGGGTAACTCTACCTACAGTGAAACTATATTTAGAGCCCAAAAGCGATGTGTCAGAGCCATATGCAACATTAAATACACTGACAGTTGCCGATCATTTTTCCGGGACCTAAAATTATTAACCTTCCTATGTCTGTAAATCTTAGAGGCATCTATTTTTGTTACGACTTGAGTGATCAAGTCATCATATCAATAAGTAATTTGCAAACTTCATTTAATTGGCTATGTAAGTATTACTTCTGCACAATCTCTTACCTATCTAAATTCCAATTACGCAGCAGGCGATGGGCAGAGTTAGCTTAAACTCTAAAAATAATAACGTAGAGGCCTAAAGTAAAGAGCATAGACAAAAAAGGTTCTTCACACCAGCCATCATTGGTTGCCTAGCAACGCTTTGTTATTAAACATTCTACATCGAGTTTGGCTAGAGTATAGTTATTAATATTTTTAGACTTTTTAATTATTATTAGTTTTTTGACATTGTATCCATTTTTCTTTTATTATTATTTTGACATTACATTTTTATTTAATTGACTTCGTATGCCACTTTGGCTTATTGCAGAGATTCCATAAAATTATTATTACCATCTATATCATGTACCTGTAATAACGAATGAATAAATGAATTGAAACCCCCAGCACATTTCGCCTATGTACTGACTGGGGCGGGATACCCACAGTCATAAGCGTCAATGAGGCTAGTCTACTGCGGGTCGAGTCAGCACGTGGCAAACTGATAGTCATAGAACATGTTTCGTAACAATATTAAACTCGACAATTAACTTAGTTGTGTGTCTTTCCACCGTGTCTATACATGTCGTAATGTTAAACAGTACATAGAGGAACTTACCAGTTGTTTGTCTCTTAGGGTACATTCACTTACACAGCCATATCTTTAGTTTTAACCAAACTGAAGTGCACTCGGTTCCCGCCATTGCTGTTGACGTTACTACCGTCTCGATAGTGTCAAAATAAAAAGTTAGCAAAGGCAAAGCAGTGTTATCACAATACAAAAAAGGGTGAAGTTCGTTTACTCACCAAATGATTGATTATCGCGTGATTCGCGACAGGTATCTTAGCTGTTTGGCTTGCTGCAGCACTCACAACTTGCTTTTTAATTAATTGTAGATATATGTCGTTTATTGTGTATATTTATTTGATTTCATTCCTTTTTGTTATATTGTTTTGAGTTTTTTCTTTTGTCATCTTTCTTTCTTTAGCTATTTGTTGTTTCATATTATTGTGTGTGCTTGTGGTAAGTCAATAAATGTATTCTATCTATCTATGCATCGTTAGCGTAAGTTCCGATAAATCAAACACGTTAACTAATTTTAACTGTTTGTAAAAGAGAATTTTGTGTTTTTTTTTTTTCATTTAAAACGAATATTTGACCATTTGTCCTTACCCGCGTTTTAGTTAGTGGACGGCGGGTACGCTAATCAGTGCATATCCTCAATTGTATTATCAATTTTTTCCAAAGTGGTTGATTCAACACATTCACTGTTATGCGGAATCAACCAAAGCAAAGTATAGAGTCTTAAGAATTTACAGCACAGGACACTTACCCGTCGCTAGAGCTCATAGAGCAGGAGTGATCGGATGCATTGTCGTCGTCGTAATGAGTGCAGGATGAGCACGACTGCGACCACGCAGAGCTGCTGCTTGAAGATCTGCAGACACATTTGGTATCAACACATATGCACCCACAAAATATAAATCTAACACAAGCTTTTGTTCTTTGTTGTTTATAAAAACTAGAACTATACTGTTTTATGTAAGAAATGTATGAATGTACAGTGGGTGCCCTCACTTAAGTATCCACTATCTGTACTACGTGCTATACAAATAGTGGATATAAAAGTGAGGGCACCGAGTGTACCAAAATTAAATGTAAACCATCTTTGTGTTTCTACCATTCATATTTTATAAGCTTAATGTAATATACTTAGTTATTGTAATAGACTTAGTTATTGTTATTTGGCAAACACTTGACGGACGTAAGACCTAGCTACTCATAGTACAGGGGATCCTAGTTTGGGAGCTAGGCACATCTCTGTACCTATTTTTGTGTTATGTGTGTGCAATAAAGATATTATTATTAAAACTATTATTAACACCGATGTGTCGCCTTATTTTTCGCCCAATTCAATTGGAGGACGGATGAGGGGGGACAGACGCGAAGACCGAGCGACTAAGTTATTTTTTTTAATTAATAACCTACCTGTCTGGTGTAAGTACGTTGTTTAAAAAAATATATTCTGCCACCGTTAGTTGAAAGGGCGCATGTGACAAAAACTCAAAACCGAGAAAATGATGTTTAAAGAAATGAAATTTAAAAATATCTACTTTTCTTTTGAGGTAACTTCATAGCTTATCCACCTAGAAAAATAATAAAAATAGTGACAAATCGGCTATTTTTACTGATCACGGCAGTACCTATACTATATAATTATACTATATATACTATAACTTATGCACAAAAAAAGTCACATTCGCTCTTACAACTAACGGCGGCAGTATTAAACATTAAATATTTGACAATAGTATTCAAATATAAAATAATTATGTAATTTAGTATCATTTAAAGTTTTAAAGCATAGGTTCCCAAACTTTTTGGCTTATCGCCCACTTAGGCACGATAAAAAAAATTCAATGCCCACCACCACAAAAAATTATTTAACAAAAACCTGTGTTTTATACTAACTTAATTAAAAAATGGCAAGGAAAAGAATTGTGTATTTACATACATATATAATACGAACCCTATACCCCACCTACTGTGGGTTCTGGCTTGGCCTGTGGCGCGTGTTCGCTTTCAGATTAAGGGCGCTTTGTGAGGAAGTTCCAGATTCGATCCCTTATTTATGAAAAAAGCCAATTTATGAAAAAAACATTTTTAAGTTGATCCTGTCAGGGTATTCTGGGTATTGCCTTCAGAATGATCGTTACTCTGGTTACTCATAGTACAGGAAATTCCCTAGTTTGAGACCGGAAATTTGAAGTGATTGTCTGGCATTTTTTCCCTAAATACTTCTCTTTTTGGCATAGCTTTCAATAAAAACGAATCTAACAGAGAGGCAGTCGAGATACAACGCTATAAGTTGTATAAGTATTTAGATAAGATATTATTTCCACTACATCGGGAAGTATGCCTTACATTTTGAACAATTGTGAAATCTAGTCCCGTATACTACCTACGTAAGGTGGCGCGCGGACGCTTTGGGCTTCGCCCTCCGCTAGCCCTCGGCCTACGGCCTCATCACTTGTGACTTTAAAAAAATTAACATAGCTCTTTAATGGCGGCCATGATGATAAAGGGCAAAAAGTAAATTTTGACTGCAAATTATTATTAAACACCAATAGAGAACCCCTCATGGTGATTTTCAGTAGAATTAAAGCAAAATTTTAACCGCTAAAAAGTTTGTAAGGCAGCCATTGAAAAATGACGAAAAATAAATTTTTTACCGGAAATTATTATTTAACACCCATAGACTCTCCCACATGCCGATTTTCAATCAAATTAGAGCAAATTTTCATCTCCTGCCAAAAAGCACTTCTATGGCATCCATGTTGAAAAATGGCGAAAAACCAATTTTCATCACAAATTATTATCAAGCACTCCTAGAGACTGATATGCCAATTTTCAAAGGGATCTGAGCAATTTTTTTCTGCCGCCAACAAACGCTTCTATGACGGCCATATTTGAAAAACAAATTTTGAGCACAAATTATTATTCGGCCTTATTATTTCTAGTGGCCTTCACATGCCAATTTTCATCAGTCGAATCGGAGCAAGTCTCTTTCGGCAGTTATTTTTAACGAAAAAAAAAAACACTTATCTGGCAGCTATATTAAAAAATGGCGAAAATAAATTTTTGACCACAAATTATGATTAAGGACTCCTAAAGACCCTTGCATGCCAATTATGAGCTGGATCCAAGCAAGTTTTTCTTCGGCCACCATTTTGAAATCGCCATCTTGAATTTTTTTTACCCAGGCAGTTAACCAGTGTTACCCTCTATCACATTCCTTCAAGCACCTCCTACATATCTATAATAGTTTTCGTGATAAGAGGATTTGAAATTTGTATGGCGGCCATCTTGTTTATTTGAATTTCGAATTTTTTTACTTCCCGCGGAAATTGACCAGGGTGCATCTCATAATAATGCATAAAAATCCTCCCCATGTATTATAGTTTTTGCAGGCCGTTGATATTTTTTAAAAGTAATGTTTTAGAAAGAAAACACTGTGGGTTTTTTTAAACACTTGTGCAAATAGCTTCAAATAATAATTACCTTGACAGTCCGTCGCTATCGGAACCTACTTCTCCCGGTGGACCGCGGTACTGAAGAAACGACGCCGGCACAGGAGTCGATATTGATTTGCCTTCACCTTGCATAGTTCTGAAAAAAAAAGAAACCATTAAGTAAATATTAGATAACACCACATATGTTGCTCTGATCCCAAAGTAAGTAGCTAAAGCAATTATGTTATGGAAACAACGACGGCACCACAAACACCCAGTCCCGAGACAATATAGAAAGTTAGTTCCCTACACTGACCCGACCGGAGATTGAACCCGGGACCTCAGAGATGGCGAAACCATGAAAACCAGTGTGCAAGCTACTCGATCACGGATTTCGATTAAGTCAATATCATTTCTGTTATTTAATTACAATCTCCAGGTATATTTATTACCAATAATCAACATAAATACACTTCGATATTTGTTTGTTAGCTTCGAATAAAAAATAACTTTGTGCCAGAAAACTACACTAAATCTCTGGCCATCTTCCACCCGATATCCGTCCGAAGCAATTATTGTCAAAATGAGTAAATACTAGACAAAATTAAATGATGCTAATGACCCATGATGCGAATGTAGCTTCCAGTGGCGAGGCGTGAAAATTGTCTTTAATAAAGCCGTAGCAAAACAGAAAAGAGTTGCTTGAACAAGTGGCGCCTTGGCGACAATTAAACATAACACTTATTAGCACACAAGTTACTATACTTCGTTTCAATCCATTTTGAACAAAATGTAAACAAACAAGTCACTGACCCGACCATAGATGGTTTAGTGACGGCCAATTGTAATGCCAACCACAAATCGATTAATTAATTAAATGAATCGATTTGTTCTATTGAGTCATACTAGCGGTTTTCCTTACATAACCTATATAAGCATATTTAAATTTTCCGAAATCTTCATTTTAATTAGTTCTTCAAATCGTTACACTTAGATACTCGTTCGATTGCGATTTAAATATTCGATTTACTAATCGATTACAAAAACTTTAATTGAATGAACCAAATGTTTTTTCGTACAGCACTATGCAACCATAGACAAGTAATAGATGTATAGATGATAAATAACCTCACTTTGGGACTACCATTTTTCAAATACGATTTAACAAAGCTGTTCAAATCAATATTGTTGGAAAAAGTGATATCTGATGATATAACAAGTCGAAATCTTCAAAATATACGTGAAAGTGTTACTCATTCTATTTATTGCGTGATTGCTTTAGAAATTTAACCAAATGCTTTTGTTTACTTTTTGTTCAAAATGGTTTGGAACATACTATAGTACACTTTATTTCCCTGGTTAAAAATTGAGCACAAAATGTAGTAAATTACTGTAAAATATTTATAATATTTGATAATACGTAGAAAATTTTAGGCAAATCGGTGGGAATCAAGTTAAGTGGATGAATCGCCACTGGAAGGAATTTGGTCGAATGTTACTTATTTGACAATAGTTATTTTGGACGGAGAACAAAAGTTGACCCAAACTAGGGAATTCCTTATACTATTAGTACCGGAACAACGCAATTCACTGGACACTACTCGGAGCGAATGTAGAAAATTTACTTCCCAAGTTGGTCCTACCGGGAATTAAACCCGGACCTCCCCATAAAGCGCCCATACCGCTAGGTTATACAGGTCGCTAAAATATTCATACCCACCATGGGTACATCCCTATGTTACATCAATTACTGATATAGCGACGGAACTGGGAACCACGATTATCATTTCATTTAGCGCTTTTTAGAGGACCGATCCCCAACGTAATTAACTATCCTTAGATTTTTTTATAATATCAAGTGACGAGACAAATAAGTCGGGCGCCTGACGCCTGTCAATAACAGTTGCAGTGTCACTCAGAGCTTTAAATCGAAAAGATCTGAGGGACACCCCCACTTCCCCCGTCACCCTGAGACTCAAGTTGACAAGTTCCATGTGCCTGTAATTTTACCAGCACCTTTACCTTTCCAAAACGGAACGCGGTAACGCTCACATTACTGAGTGACGGCAGAAATAGGTAGGGTGGCTTTACCTGGACGAATTCTTTCACAAGGAGCTCTACTGCTACTAAATATTGAATACAAGATACTAATATATAAGAATAAAAGATAATAAAATACAAGTACAAAGGACACAATGGCAACTATAAAAAAGACTATAGTTATGTGTTTTTTCATATTAGTTTGCAATAAATAGTATACGGAAGTACCAATTATTTGTAAGAAGTTTTATCAAGATTTTTAATTTAGGAAATTTTGTCTTAAAACACGACAAATAGAGCATATTTCACCTAAACAAGTCAGGCGAAGAAGTAGACTCTTTGTCAAGCTTCCTCGGGCGACCGCGCCCTTTCTTCTTCGGTGAAGTGTCTAAATTGGAACGGCCGAGACTCGCCGACAATGTTGGTAGAGACGCTGAAATATAACAAAAACAAAATTTAAATTAAATAAAGTTTTGTAAAAAAAAAGATGAACAGTAGACGTGTAAATACTAGTTTTTTTAAGAAAAAACATTTTGTTAAAATTTTCGCGTTATTGAAAATATACATCGATTGGCCAAACTCAAACTAAACTTAATTAGGAAGAAATGAATGCGAAATTTTATTATATTTAGTAAATTATTCAGTGATGGCTGAAATATTTTAATTTAAATAATATATGTATATTTTGTTTTGAAAAGTCCTTTTATTTTTTTTATTCGCTGTCAATAGACTGCTATATAACCTTTAGTAGCAGTAAAGCTCCTTGTGGAAGAATTCATCCATGGAAGTACTGCCACCTTATCTATTTCTGCCGCCAAGCAGTAATATAAGCGTTAGTGCGTTCCAGTATGGAAGGATATGGGTGCTGGTGAAATTATAGGTACATGGGATTTGCCAACTTGTGTCTCAGGGTGATGGGCGCAGTGGCAGTGCCGCTCAGTTGATATGATTTAAAGCTATTGTTATACGTGTTGTTTACCACCAGGTACACGAATTGTTCGATTTTTTTTTGTGGAATTATTTATAAATACCAACGTTTATTGAAATCGGTTACCGGAAAGTGCGCAAACTCGGATTGATCCCCTAGTTCGCCACTATACGGGACTTGACACAGGAGATAATATAAATCGGTTCTCACTACTATAAGTATATTGAGAGAAAAACGCCTTGAATTGGAGAATAGCAAAATCAACCATTGAAATAGTTCTTGCTTATAATAAAATTTAGGCGCTATTAATAAAAATGAATCTTCATGCGTGAACAGCCACCAGGTGGATGATTTACTTCAAAATTAAGTGGGACCACTATGGAGGTACCCTCTTTCTAACAAAAAAAAAAGAATCAAGAAATTGGTTCACAAATACCGGAGTTATCGCGTAACATACATACAAAAAAAGACAGTCAAATTGAGAACCTCCTTTTTTTTAACTTAGTTCGTTTGCCCGAATCAAAATCTTTAGATTTAATATTGGCGCTACTAGAGGAAATACATGGCATTGGCATTATTCCTCTATTGGAAAGGTGTTTTATCAATACAAATTGTACGTATATATTTTTATTAATACTTGCCGTCCGAGCCAAAGTTTTTCGGTGGTGTAGTTAATGTAGACTGACCCACTAGCAATGTAGGCTTGCGTAGACCACCCAAAAGACTCAGACCTGCAAAAAAGTAATTACTGTTCTCTTTGTACAAACTACGGGACAACGAATTACTTTCGAAAATAATTTTACTTTCTTAATGGACTATATAGTATTTTGACACTTCTTATTGATTTTGTTATAAAATACTACTATGTTACAATATATCGCTGGCTTACTCACTAATTGCAAAATATCACTAAATCAAATAGTCACTGAATCTAATTTTAATTAAGGCTTTACTTTGCAAAACTTAAAACATATTTTCTCCAGAACAATTGTGTCATTAACTCACTTTTAGCAGTAAACCGACGATATTAACTATTACACATGTTATCCTATATATTATCCCTTGACATTGTATTTTGACACTTCTTATTGGCTTTTTCAATGTAACACGAGAAAGCTGTGATAAACACTTTTTTTTAATGTTTACAATCCCTAAGTACAACTAAAATAATAATATGACAACACTAGCTACGCTCCGAGTGAAGTGTAGGCATTGATGTGGCGAACAGGCGGGAGTTATCCTACTTGTTCTTTTTTATTTATTTTTTATTATCGGCTTACAAAACTGGATAAAAATTCTTAGTGATCGATTAACATTATAAGTCGAGAAGAGTGTATCCTTCGATATGTGAACACAACAATTCGTATTTTAAAAAAAACAAAAAAATTGCTAAAACAAAATTACAGTAATTTAAAATTTACATCTATTATTTATAAAAAAACAGACAAGTCAAGACTCATCGTGCAGTCAGCACATAAGACATTTTCTTATTGAGTTCCTAGCTAAAACCACAGAAACAGAGAATATGTCAAAATCAAATCTGATAGCTTTGTAAGAAGAGCACTTGCGATACACTGGACAGTGCTGACCGAGGTTAGTTCTACAAGTAGGTGAGAAAGTTTTACGATTAAGTAGGCGGCTTCCGGGACGAAGAAGCATTTTATTATACTATGCTTAATAGGTGCAGACGTAATGCCTGAAAGGGTTTAACTAGGCCAGGTACAGGTACAGACGTGCATACTATAAAAGAGCACTTACCGGGTCCCGAATCTGCAATTTTGGAGGGCGATTTGTCCGGTGTAGGCGTGGCTAGCTTGTGCGAACGATCGGCACTTTTCATCGGTGGTATAGGCGTCTCGGAGCCAGAAGTTGCAGTCTCTGTATTTCAACGATTTACAAGTTTTATATAATTATTGAAACGAACTTCGAATTCTATTTTACGATTGTCGATGCGCTTGCGAAGAATGGTGATTATATCCATGTTGAGCAGTGCAACACATGCCGCTGTGATATGATAATCTGTGAATTTCTATTATAATTTTACACATAAAAACGAATAACCACGAACCATTATCTTGCCTAGCCGCTGCAACAGTGACTCGTCCCCTCCCCCTGCGGCCGCGCCTGCCCCTGCCTCGGCCACGGCGCCATTGTGTACGTACTTCGCGCTTCGTCGACGTTGATACGACGGAAAAATCGTCGCGCTGCAACCCATCGTCAAATATATTCACTGTTGGGCACGGGTCTTCTCTAAAGAAGTTTTCACACGTTTTCCAGGGATTGCGAACTTTTCAACGTTTCATTACGCCATTTTCCTTTACCGTTAGCGAGAGCTATTGCTACTATACTAAAAGCAAACTACGATGATGTGACACTTCATTTGGCGTTTGTCATAGAGGTGCGATAAAGGCGATTTTTCGTGCATTTGATTTTTAAAGCAAAATTTCTCTCTTATAGTTTTATTTTTCTGACGTATTCTAAACGATTTTAACGTTTTTACTTTCTAAGTGTTCGATTTTTGTATTAAAATCATAATAAATTAGTGTACTAAAATCACAAAAAATAATTGAATATCATGCTAGTAAAACATCGTGACATTCAATAAACGTAATATTAAATTATGCTTGAAAAATTTAGCGTTGACTGGCACATGGTTCAGTATATAACAGTAAATAAAATAAAAAAAGGAGAGTGTGTTGTGTGGGGTGTGTGTTTCAGAGCGTGTGAGTGTGTGCATATTTGGGCGTGCGTGTGGGTGTATATGTGTGCAAAAAAATTAAGTGCAAATTAAAATAAATATTTCTCACCGTATTATCATCATCAGAACCTCTTACACTTGACTGGCGTTGAATATTTCTAGCATGTGATGCCCCAGGCTCGCTAGGTATATCTGATGCTACGAACAATCACAAAACTTAATAGCACTTAATCACAAAATTTAATAACACTTACGATTTATTATTAAAATTATTACTCGTAATATGAAGAGAGAACTTTTAATAAACAAACCTGAAAAAATGTTTATGATCTACATTATCCATCCCAGAGTATATTCATTTGTCAGGTATAAATTGCAACGCCCTGAGATCGACCTCGAAGCATCGCGGCATAATTCTCTAAAGAGTATTGAAATTCATACCTTATTTAAATTGCAATAGCATAAAATATACATTGATAAATTTAATGTCCTCTGCCTTGAAGTCCGCCGGTTTGTGCTGGCTCGAAGGAAGACATGAAAACAATGTTTCCACAAACATCAAAATCAAACAAACGATATCACACTAACCTGCCGTTCTATCACTATCGGTACTACTATCGCGACTACGCGAAAGACTTCGCTTTCGTGATGGACTGCGTCTTCTCGACATGCTTCTACCAGGTGACGGACTTCGTCGACTTCGTGACGGACTTCGCCTTCTAGACGGACTAGATCGATTTTTTGACGGGCTTCGTCGACTTCTAGACGGACTTCGCTTTCTTGATGGACTTCGCTGATTTCGCGATGGGCTTCGTCGAATTTTGGATGGGCTTCGTCGGTTTCTTGACGGACTACGTTTTCTTGACGGACTGCGTCGATTTCGTGACGGACTTCGTCGACCTCTAGACGGACTTCGACGTAGTCTTTCAGGTTCGGGGCTGCTAGCTGTATCACCGTTGCCGGCTAAATCCGCCATGCCAGCTGCGATGACGTCACGACGCGCTTGACGAAATATTGGCATGCACTGCTCGCGCATTTTTACGCCCGCTCTGGGGAATTAATTTTATAATTTTGAACACACTACGTGGCTTGTTTCGCTTTCCGATAGTTAAAACTTAAGAAAAAAAATTAAATGGATCGTGTCTACTGCGACTTCCCGATAGACGATCTGAAAAGTATTGCTTCTTAGCAATAAGGGCCATTGTGGCTGTACTGGTTGTTTACCCTAAACTTGTTCCAATGAATGAATGAAATATTCTTTATTGCTAATAAAATTACAGTTAAAATACAATAGCTTAAGTACAATAGTACTAGTAAGTTAATGTGCAACAGGCGGCCTTATTGGTATGTAGCAATTTCTTCCATACCGCCTTAGGATAGACTTGTTTAGTTGATCGTATAAAAGAAAATTAAATTGAACACATTTCCAGCTTGTCATCACAGTGCTTTCTCATTTTGTTAACTCTAGTAACGACAGTACAAAGCATTCCATTCCCTATTGTCCAGATGTAAAAGGCTTCTATTGAACAGTTGTACTTACTTATAAAACACAGTGTCCTTATTATTATATGTAAGGCAGTTATCGATCATGAGCTGGAAATCCGCCTCGACGTCGTCTATAGAATTGTATGCACCGCGGTCTAGCTTCTTGCCCATCGTGCTTAGGTCCATCGGGTGTTTTACAACGCTGCTGTAGTCAGGTACCTGAAAAAAAAAGATGATACATTCGTATATTTGACAACATAAAATATAATATCGGTAGTAGTAGTAAAAAGAATGCAAATTCAGTATTGAAGCTTTATCTTATTGTTGGTACCTTTGACATATATTTTTTAAATGTACATAGATTCAGCTTTTTAGAGTGTACGTCTTTTTCGTATAATTTATAAAACAAATACTTCCGTGGTATATTTCACCCATCATATATTCAACCCATTAAGACAGGTTCTGTGAAAATTTTGGCTTTCCATAAATAGAATATCTACATTATACATGAAGATTAGCATCTATACGTAATAATAATATTTTCTTATATTAGACATATAAATTATCTACGAAGTTATTAAACATTAAAGCGTAAAACACACAGAGAGCGGGTGCGAGTCGGCGCGGGTCGGGTCGGGACCGCGGCGGGTCTAATTTCATGTATTTATATTGGACGACATACCAAACGCGGGCGCATATGCCCGTTCCACGTTTTGTCGTCCATATAAATACATGGAATTAGACCAGTCACAACCCCTACACGCGCCCGACTAACACCCGTTCTCTGTGTGTTTCACACTTTATGAATTATGAACTTAACTTTTTTTTATGTTTCTCTATCACTAGCACTGTGCCAGCTATCACAAGCACATTGAAATGGATTAATTTCTAGAAAAAATCAATATTAGGGCGACAGGAAAAAATAGCAGTGGTCTACCAGACGAAAAGTTTAAGAAACTCTGTTATAAAATATGATTACCTCATGCAAGTCCACGGGTTCAGAGAAGACATCACTATGATCGTGTTGCCTTAGCAGCCGCAAGAGTTTGTGTAATATGGCACGCGCCGGCCGCAAAGCGTGGACAACGCAGCGCTCCCATACGCGAGTGTATTCTGCCTTTAGACGCTCGCGTTTGCGGACGAGTTCGCAGAGTAACCTATGACAAGACACAACTTTTTTTATACTATTTCGGTTTCAACATACATTGTTTGGATGTTGTAATGAATTTTAGCTTGCTGTAGGAGATAATGTTTACGATAATGTTTTTAAAAATCTTGCCGAGACCTTCAAGCGCCTTCAATTTCATATTTACAGAATATAATATTAATCAGGGATGCCGCAGATGTGGGTTATGACAACATCTGCAGATGCGGACGCGGATGCGAATTCTTCACCGTTAAAATCTGCAGATGCGGATGTTTGAAAAATATTTTATTGTGGATCATTGTGATTTTGGTGATCATTGAATTATCATTAATTTAATAAAAAATAATCATTTTACATAATTTTAATACAAAAGAGATGAAGGATAGAAGGCATGGGAATATTACATTTGTTAATACTTAAAATTTTTAAAGAGGTCGTGAGTCGTCTTTTATGTGAATAGAGCTAGACTATTTTGAATGAAAAAGTTCGTAAGTCAATCTAAGTTCAACAATCTTTGTCCGGAAAACAAATAGGCAGTTGCCTGCACTACACGCTAATTAGCACTAGTACTCGGCACGCGCTTTCACTAGAGCTTTGATCGCCAAAATATCCGTATCCGCAAAAACTGCATCGATTGATTCGAAAGTCAGATGCATGAATTAAAAAATATCCGGATGATCCACGGTTGCGGATGCAGATACAGACGTCTGCGGCATCCCTAATATTGATAAAAATAACTGGTTATATCAGATTATTGGCTTCTTTACACGTTTATTTACAAATCAATTTTTAAGGTAAATTCACTGCTACGTAAAATATACCTTGCTCGCTCCAGGTCTTGTCGTATACGCTGCCAGTACTTGAGCTGATTACATAGCTCTCTTACGTTGACAGTCGCATCCTGAATACCTCTCCCTGGAACAACGAATATTATTGTTTGTAAACAATAGCAAGTACGTTTTTATGTCCTCAGTTATATAAATCAATTGTAGTTTGGTAAAACCTGTTAAAAAGACATCTGCGTAAAGTTTTCTAGAATATTTGTTCTTTTGCACAACAAAACAGCTACGGAGCTAATAAGCAAACATACGCTGAGCTCTAGCAGTCAGGTCAGGTCTTAATTTGTTTAAAAATATTGTTGTTTGGTTAAAACATGTTCGTCTGGTGTCTCTGTAATATTAAAAATTTATGTAGAAACTTCAAATTAAATATCAAAATCTAACTCGTATTACGTTCAAAAATAAATGCTAATAACGCACTCAATTTTTTTAAAGTATTTAAAAAAGAACGAATCTTCTTTCACCAGTTTTTACCTCACTCGTCTGTCGTAGTCAATCAAAATTGCGTAAGAACAATAGTTGTTTAATGTTGAAGTCAAAGAACTTTTATTTTACGAAAAATAGATAATCTTGTTTAATATATTTGGAGTAATGTACTTTAAATATGTATTAAATATTTTTTTAATTTGTTTTCACACTACACACACTTATAACTGTATGTATATATTGCAAAGATTATGTAAGTATTTATTCGATATAAGAGTACAAACTGCAATAACACTATACACTCTCATGACATAAGTATTTAAATAGTTTATTTTATTTTCTGTTTCGGGACGCACACGTCCATCACTCTCTCTCACTCGGCTAGGGCCCATTGAAAACCAGCGTCACAACCTAGGCTTGGATGTGACTTTAGTTGAATGGGATCTTTTTGTATACGCCACAGCCGCACACATCAGTATTTTATTATGTAACTTGGTCTTTAAATGTTTTTTACGCTGTTTTTTGTTATTTCTGTTTTAAATGTAATAGTCTTTGTTTTTGTGTTTTTTTTATAATGTGGCGTTACAATACATGGTTTCTATTTCTATTTCCAAAAGTCACTAAGTCGCAAATGGACAAATTATATTGGTCTCTGACGACTGTGTCTGGATGGTTAACGGACTAAGTCGCAATTGGCCAAGTTATATTGGTCACTTGCGACTTAGTGACTTCGCCCTACGGCAAATAATTATTAATATTAATTATTACATAACCTCAAGAAGAAACTGTTACTTAAATCAACCTTCTCTAGTTAAAAAAAATATTAATTCGAAACTATATGGAAACACAAATGATACCCGCGAATGAAAAATACAAATGAAAAATCTGCGATTGATGGTCGTCAACTTTTTTTAGTTGGTCCAGGACTGTATGGAACTTGGGCACTGTTCTTTAAAATGTGTATTTGATTTAAATTTTTATTGAACTGATATTCAATTATTTTTTGCGAAATTACTCCACTAGTTTGTTATATGTTATATAATTATTACTACAAAGATCGAACACTCAGAAAAAATTCCTTCGTTCCGGCCGGATTCGAACCGACGTCTTCTAGCATACCGTGGCAGGCGCTATACCAACTAAGCCACGGAACGAACCAGCGGACGTCATGAATTTTTCTATGTGCTTGTTGTCATGTCTTTGTATTTGGTTTTTCAACGACTTTTTATTCTGTGTATTTGTTTCTTACCATGTTGTGTAGGACGACTCTGTAGCCTTCTCAGCAAAGGTACTCCATTGCGACTGTGTCGCTTCAGCGTCCAATACGCTAGCAATCGTTTCATAAGTTGAGCCCTAGCGGCAGGCGTTCCACTAGCGAGCTGGGCAACATGGGCCACTCTAGCAGCTGGTAGAGTTGGCACTAAGACCACCGGAGCCCATGTACGTTTCATTGCTAAGACGCGACGAGCCTGGGGATAATAATTAGAATTTACAAATAAGGTACAATGTTATTATTATTGATACAAAAATTTAACATAAATAAAAATTCTCTCGATCTGACTGGACTCGATTTTACCAACTGATGAGGACTTGGGAAAAGCTCAGTGAAATAGTTTTTTTTGTTTTGAAGCGTGTAAAGCCTGTAAGTTCAGCGTTAGGTAACACACGGTAACACAATCCACTAACACACGGCGCGTGTTAAGCCGGGTACTCATTAGTGATCTGTAACTGTAACGTGACAGATACAGAAACGAGGTTCTAGTGTGTACGCTTGAAATAGTCTTCAATCAGACGGCGCACTGCGAACAGCACGCGTTCCGCTTGCGGCAAGCTCGCGAACCACGTACACACTACGATTTTTGGTTATATAACGTGGAACGGCTACGGTTTCAGCTCGCTAGTGAGTACTCGGCTTTACTCTGGTCAGACGTCAAATCGCTAGGAATAATGAAAATCCGCGTATGTAGTGTTGGTAAAAGGCGCACACACTCAACATAGCCCCGCACTAGGGAAACCATGTGTCGCGGGTACCATGGACACACGTATAGACAACCACAAATTACACCCAAACTCACGAGATAAATAAATGTAGGCCATGCAAATATTTCTCCCGGCCCGAGAATCGAACCCAGGAACTCTGCGAGCAGTCTCGCATGGTAACCGTTCGGCCACGGAGGCAGTTCAGTTGTACGGTAACGCAATGCCAAAGTATCACATCAGAAAAAACGGAGACAGTTTATTTTCCAATGATGTCGAAAAGTCAGTGTTTAAAAAAAATTAATTAAATTTGTAAATACAATACGTCTATTCTCTTTTTTATAATATCAAGGGACGGGACGAACAAGTCGTGCGCCTGATGGTAAGCTACACGCCTGTCCATAACAGTTGCAGTGCCAATCAGAGCTTCAAGTCGCAAAGATTTGAGAGGCAATGCCACTGCGCCCGTCACCCTGAGACGCAAGACAACTATCGTGTGCCTGTAATTTCACCAGCACCCCTACCCTTCTAAACCGGAACGCAAGTAATACTGACATTACTGCTATGATGGCAAAAATAGGTAAGGTTAGGCAGTACTACCCTGGTTAAACTTTTCACAAGGAGGTTTCTACAAATAAAAAAATGTTAGCTTTTTTATTATTTCTTCAATTGGAGAAATGTTTAATGATTACGAAAAAGATAAATTTTATAAATTACCACCAATTTTCTGTAATATTGAAGCACATGTCGGAGACATGGTTATTTACACGCAAGCGTAGCCGTAGGCTGCAGTTAAGCGGCCTTACCCATACACAACAATACGTTAATAAACCTAAAAATGGTATAATAGTCACCTGTTTTATTTTTTCTCTACCCTTTTGCCTGATTGCAGAAAGATCTGTTGATTTGTTGCCTTCCTCAGCTTCTTGTGCCCGTCGTTCCTAAATAAAAAAATATTTTCAAATCGGTTACTGTATAGTGCGCGAAACCGGCTTTTTTCCTTAGTTTGCCACACTTAGAGATGGAATATTTTCTTCAAATTTAAATGGGACCACTTCTGAGATACCCTGTTTCCAACAAAAAGGGAATCATCAAAATCGGTTCACAAATGCCGAGTTATTGCATAATTGAGAACCTCCTCCCTTTTTTTGAATTCGGTTAAAAATACAACCTTACACATGTCGCTGTAATATAACTAACTTCAAATTCAATGAAGATTACATACACAGGGTTATTTGCAAATACTAACATCGCAAGACTATATTACTAACATCGTAAACAACAACTTTTGTGTAAACACAAATTATACAGGCTATCAGAGCTAAAGTGGTGAAAGTCACATTTAATTTTCATTCGACAATGTTACTTCAAATGATTTTAAATGAAATTATGTATTTTAGTATCATTCAAAGTAATATTGTACAAAAAAAATTTATATGGTTTACACCACTATTGTTCTGATAGCATCAGTTAATCTAAAATACTTGTAATAATCTACTTTGTTTATTCTTATTCAATTGCTTTACTTCATTTCTTCAACTCGAGTACAATATTTATAACTTCCGGAATAAAATAAAAATGTTTTTACATAACTTGATGATTACCTGTAAGACGTGAGCCGGCGTGTGTGCATCGCAGTAGGCCATTTTAGCGACTTGTACAGGCTGGCTGGAATCCCGCCCCGCGCCCGCCGCCTCCATCTTCATGTACAGTCTACAAAATATTATCGCGTTACTTTAACGTTCCTCAGAAAGGTTTTAAATTAACATACATAAGGACTATACGTTAATAAGTTTAGTAGCAGTAGAGCTCCTTGTGAAACAGTTCATCCAGGGAAGTACTGCCAAGCAGTAATGTGAGCATGTCTGCGTTCCGGTTTTGAAGGGTAAGGGTGCTGGTAAAATTACAGGCACATGGGACTTTTCAACATATGTCGCAGGGTGATGGGCACAGAGGCAGTGCACCTCAGACCTTGCGAGTTAAAGCTCTGAGTGGCACCGCAACTGTTATGGACAGGCGTGTTGTTTACCATCAGGCGCACGACTTGTTCGTCCCATCACTAAGTATAATGAAAAAAAAAGTGACCTACGATCACACATTAGACATTGCTTCTGCAAAATCCTGTGAGGTCATCAAATTGCTGACAGTCACTTAAATTGCCGACTTCGTCTTTCAAAAAATTAAATAAATGCTCATACATCACACCCTCATTCATAATAACACCTGGACAACCCATATGGTTTGTAGACAGGCTAGGGAAGAACTCCCCTCGTTTAATGTCGCTCGCCGGTCTATCTCGTAAATTTCTTAAGCTCAAAATGAAAAGAGCTGCGCATTCTAACTGCCGCTCTAAAGGGTCATGGTCTATATAATAAACACCTTTTCAATCTAGGTATCACGGACAGCCCTCTATGCAGAGCATGCATGGAGGGGGAGGAAACCGTCGCGCACATCCTACTGCAATGCTCCAGCGTGGCCAACTACAGGGTTATACACTTTGGAGTGCCAAGGTCGCTCCCCGAAATCTTCGAAAAACTCAGAAGGGTTCTGAAATTTTTGGAGTAGGATGGTACACCCACTACACGTAAAATAGGCGCTCGGACGTCGAGTTGCGGACAGCCCGTTACACCATACCAATAGTTTCCCATCGAGGTAGGAAGAGACAACAAGCCTTTCACCTCTCTTATACGCTTATCCGCGGTTAAGGGTTAATGAATTATTTCTTTGAGGGTGTTCAAATTTGGGGGTGCACGGAATGAGCCTCCCCCCGCAGAAGTATTATGGTGTATGCCATAGATACGATAGGGTTTTTTTGATAAAATCAAGTGACGGGATGAACATGTCGTGCGCATGATGGTAACACGCCTGTCCTTAACAGATGCAGTGTCACTCAAAGCTTTAAATCGCAAAGAATAGAGGGGCGCTGCCACTGCGCCCGTCACCCTGAGACTCGAGTTGACAAGCCCAATGTGCCTGTAGTTTCACCAGCAGCCTTACGCGTCAAAACCAGAACACGGTAATGCTCATATTACTGCTTTGCGGCAATACATTCCTGGACGAACTCTTTCACAAGGAGCTTATCATATTTTAAGAGCCAGACTCTTGTCACCTCCACTTCTCACGGTTCATAGCCAGTTTCTTGAGCTATTTATAGTTCACTTTGATCTTCTTTTTTATTTGTTCGCTATACGCTATTCTTGGTCTTCCTCTCTTTATTTTCCCTTCTATCCTCCCCTCAATTATCACTCTCTAAAGAACTCTAATGCTACTAAAAATGATTTTTTTTAAACAAAACTTATACTTACTTTACAATTTTACAAAATCAAAAGGCGACGAGTGCCTGGTTCACTCGGTTAAATTCAAGTGCCCCGTTCTTAAATTAAAAATGTAATGCTAGTTACCCAGCTTGCTGCGCACAGGTGACATGGAAGGCGGCGTAGCAATTGGGTTTGTGGCATTGTATGCAGGCGCCGGCGCCACGAGCCTTGCACACCATGCACTGCAGCTTCCATCTGGCCGCGGGGATCATCTCGATCGAATCTGAACAGTATTATACGATATTCACTTATACTACGTAATAATTGAGGCTATCGGCACAAATGTGATGTAACCCACATTAATTTTTTTTCTACAATATTACTTTCAATCATGTTTCCCAAAGTGGTCCGTACCGGGTGGTCTAATAGGGGCTTCGGAAGCAATTGCAATCGGACGTTGATGCTGTGCAAGAGGTGCTAGTGCATTTGAAAAAAAAATCTGAATTATCTACACTACATGTATATAATTTTCTTTCCCTGTGATTTTTTTGTGTTAAGTTAGTATAAAAAACACGTGTTTTCAATTTTTTTTTGTGGTGGTGGGCGTTGAAGCTTGTTTATCTTGCCTAAATGGGCGGTGAGCTAAAAAGTTTGGGAACATGTGCTTTAATGATAGTAAAGTGCCTTTAACAAAATTATTTTATACATGAAAATAGCATCTAAACATAACATAATTACTTCATTATCATTTAAAGTAATATTGTAGATTTATTTATTGTGGGTTACACCACTTTTGTGCCGATAGTCTCGATTGTAAGACTGAAGCATTTACATAATCAAGTTCAACATTATTTATCTTATAGAATATCATGATGTCTTTACTACAATGACTATCGTATTTTATGAAAATACTCGACTATAGTCTGTCTTTTTTGAAGACGGAGTAAAAATGACTTTGCAGGGTTTAAATAGTCATGTAGTTGTAGTCGACAGTTTTACCGATAGATAGTGAAAAACGGTAAGTTTTGCCAAAAATGCCTTGAATACGACGTTCTAACGATTACTAATTGCGTTACTGCTTTCTTTATTCTTATTTTGACAGTTGGCCTACTAGTATCGAGACCAATTTTTATTCATAATACATGTTAACAAGAACAGCCAGATTTGATTGTCTATATTGAATTAAAATGAAAAACTTTCAAATATGTCTGCTCTTCGCATTTTTCACAAACAGTTCGAAATACAATGAATGTATGTATGAACTCACAAAAATTGACAATTCCTATGAACTTGTAGTCAGTAATTGGATGAATAATGAATCGAGGGCGATCCAAATGAAACAAGTTCAACTCTTTTATATATATAAAGCTACAAATCCTGACTCACTTAGAAAAATAGAACGCATACTTCCCGATATGGTAGAAAAAATACATTTATACCGTTGTACGCAGATAGGCTCCAAGGCAAAGAATCAAATATGAGAAGACCTGAATGTGGAAAATGTAAACGAGTGATTAACAGCCTGCAGAAACTATAATACATGGGGGGGATATTTGTGCATTTTTATGAGATACACCCTGGTCAATTTCAGCGGGAAGTAAAAATGTTCGAAATTCAAATAAACAAGATGGCCGCCATACAAATTTCAAAGTCTCCTATCACGGAAACTACTAGAGATAGGTAGGAGGTGCTCGAAGGAATGTCATAAAGGGTAACACTGGTCAACTGCCTGGGTTAAAAAAATTCAAGATGGCGTTTTCAAAATGGCGGCCGAAGAAAAACTTGCTTCGATCCGGCTGAAAATTGGCACGCGAGGGTCTTTAGGAGTCGTTAATCATATTTGGGGTCAAAAATTTCTTTTCGCCATTTTTTAAAATGGCTGCCATATAAGAGAATTTATTCGTCAAAAATAGCTGCCGAAAGAGATTTGCTCTGATTTGACTAAAAATCGGCATGTGAAGGCCACTAGAAATGCCTATAATGTAATGATAATAATTTGTGCTCAAAATTTGTTTTTCGTCATTTTCAAATATGGCCATAGAAGCGTTCGTTCGCGGCAGAAAAAAATTTTCTCAGATCCCTTTGAAAATTGGCATATGGTGAGACTCTAGGAGTGCTTGATAATAATTTGTTATCAAAATTGGTTTTTCGCCATTTTTCAACATGAAAATTTGCTCTGATTCGATTGAAAACCGGCATGTGGGGGAGTCTATGGGTGTTAAATAATAATTTCCGGTCAAAAATTTATTTTTCGCCATTTTTTAATATGACTGCCATACAAACTTTTTGGCGGCAGATGGAAATTTGCTCTAATTCAGCTGAAAATCGGCATGTGGGGATCTCTATGGGTGTTTAATAATAATTTGCAGTCAAAATTTACTGTTTACTTTTTACGGCCGTATGCCGAGGTGTAGCGGAGGGTGCAGCCCGAAGCGTCCGCACACCACCTTACTTAGGTAGTATACGGAGACTCTATTACGGTACAAAATTTCACAATTGTTCAAAATGCAAGGCATACTTCCCGATGTAGTGGAAATATAATAATAGGGGTTAAAGTATGAAATTGCCGATTTGTACTGAAAATCTAAGTTGTTTATTTTTTAAATTTTTAACAAATTTATTTAATCAAAATAGTTGCCATTATTATCTATACATTGCTGCCATCTAATGGGAAGGTTATTAATGCCTTTGCGATAGAACTCCGACGATCTAGACTGCACAAACTGTGTGAAAGCATTTTGTACTGCCTCCTGGGAAGAAAACTTCTTGTCACGTAGATAATTGTCCAAATCACGAAAAAAATGGTAGTCCGTTGGAGCAAGGTCTGGTGAATACGGAGGATGACGAATGGTTTCTAACTGCAGTTCCTGAAGGGTCAAAATGGTTTCTCGTGCTGTGTGAGGTCTCGCGTTATCGTGGAGCAATAATGGTGAAGATCGATTCATGAGTCGGGGCTGTTTTACTGCTAGTTTTGTCAACATGGTTCGGAGTTCGGCACAATAGACATCTGCCGTTATTGCTTGACCAGATCGGAGAAAACTATAGTGAATAACACCATGCTGAGACCACCAAACAGTTACCATTACCTTTTTATTGGTAAGTTTTGCTTTAGGACACTGTTGTGGCATTTGACCTGGGGTCAGCCATTGCATTTTTCTTTTCCGGTTATCATAAAGAATATACTAGAATATAATATATAGAATCCACTTTTCAACACATGTTACAATTCGATCCAATATTCCTTCATTTCTGTACCGGTTCAACAAGGCAACACAAGTTTCAACACGCGTTTCTTTCTGCAGATCAGTCAAATCATGAGGCACCCATTTTTCGTATTTTTTTATTTTATTGATTTGACGCAAGTGAGTCAATATTGTGGGTAAGGTAACGTTAAACCATGCCGCTAATTCTTAGTAGTTAACTGGGTAGTTTGACTAGGATCGGCTTCCACTATCTCTCTTAATTCATCGTTATTCACCTGTGTGGGCGGTCTTCCTCGTGGCTCGTTCTTTAAGTCGAAATTTCCATCACGAAAGCGTTTAAACCAAAATCGCACGGTGCGTTCATTAGTAGACCCCTCTCCAAACGCAGCATTGATATTGCGGGCTGTTTCTGACGCGTTAGTTCCGAGTCGGAACTCGTATTCAAAAATCACTCGAATTTTCGCAGTATCCATCTTTCTTGTCTAAATTGAATAACAAAAACAATTGAAAGTTGATATTCAAAAGTTTCAAATTTAAAACAAAAAAATCACAGAAACCATTTGAAAAAAGTTTCATTCGAAAACCTCAAACCATGAAGATTCTGTGAAAATTCAAAGAACCTATTGCAATAAAACGGCAATTTCATACTTT